AACGCCCAATTTCGCGCGCGGTAGTCGAAGATAGATGTGGCTAGTTTGCCGGGCCGCTATGCGGGCTGATCTGCCCCACGAACATCGCCGAACCACGCCTCGAGAGCAACGCTCAATCGGTGCCGGGAATAACGCTGCTAGAGGACACTCCTGAGGACCAAATCCGTTGGGAAGCTGCATCATAAGCATGCTATCTTCAGGGTCAAGGTCGTCATCAGTAGCAAGCTGCGAGCGTCGACGTGGGGTGCTGCCGATGAGATCACGTGGTCTATCGGCGAAAGAGATGCGAGTGTAAGGGAAGGCAGCGGATAGAAATGAGTGAACTTGCATATAGCAAGCTGCCCGCAGGGCCTCGCTTTGTCAGGTTCGGGGGAGTTGGTGACAAATCAATCCACGACAAATTGTCGAATTCACCAACAACGGTGGGGGTAGGTTCTTTGGGTCGGACCTTGAGTCACCTTCGGAGCTTGACACCCCACCCCGCCCCTACGGTTGATGCAGTCCTGATACTCTGAGCCGGGCATCTTCCCTTACTGTGTTTTCCTGTCCATACGTTGGGAGGCCCGACAACATGCTCCGGAGCGATGCGGTCGTCCAGCGGCCCGGCTGCCGTCATTGCTATCCCAAATTGATGTAGTCCGCATCACCGCGTTGCGACAACCTCTCCAGGTTGCTCATTGATGCATCCAAGAGCCCCGTGCGCCTTCCAATGGCAGTCCAGATGTCGGCATACATGCGAGTCGGTCACGGACGTAATCTCGCTCATCCGATATCCCCACCCTTTTTACAATTATTTTGAGAACTTTGTGCGTTGAACCTGTTTTTGATCTCCCTGGCCAACCCCAGCTCCCTAGCCACCCCAGATTCGGCTATTTGGTGCGTGTTATTTTTCTTCTCTTTTCGATTTTTGTCCAAACGACAAGCTCAGGGTGGGTCGTGTCACCAGAGAATTCCAAATCGAAAATATTTGTCGAATTCGGGGTGATTTTAGATTTCGAATTGCCTCCACTTAAACGCCCGTGGTGATGTATCGAATCGAAGATGGAAAATAAACGGAAGACACGAAAAAGGCCTGAAAGTTTCCGTTGCATTGATTCTCAACATGATCATCAGAGCCACAGGGCAGCCTAGACAGCGAGCAATAGTACCGGGTGTCGGCCATGATCAGGCGGGTTGGATAATCGTGGTCTCTCACCGATCAGCTGCGACTTAGCGAGCAATGCATGGTGAATCGCTCCCGTCTGATGTACATTTCGCGTCGATGACCCTCTCAGAGGTATGCTGTGCACTGCTGGATGCCAGCTTCATGCCTACGTAATGCTCTCATCGCAAGCGGTCTGTAGGCTAGATGAGTAGCGAAATGAATGCATGTCGGAAATCCAGAGAGTTTGGCAACCAGCTGGCAAGTAAACTTGATGTTCCTGTTCGTGCAAATCGATTTTCGATTTCGATCTTTTCGGTTTTTCGTTTTGATTTTCCATATGGATCACCTTCGGAACACAATGCACCATATCGAAAATTCCGCGGCGGAACAAGGGCAATTTCTCCAGAGGCATTTTCGATTTTCGATGGAGCACACTAGTGACAAGAGCCACCCTCGGTATTTTGTGCCTTTTTTCATTTTTTAATTGCTGAAGTTGTGAGTGCCTTCACTCTCGTCGTGCCTTACTTGGCCATTCCACTGACTTCCGCAGTAGGACAATCAATTAATGGTTTTTGTGATTGTTGTCAACGCCTTTCGTTTCCATTCTCCTCCACTCCCGCTGACCTTGCTCCATCCGTCTCTCCCTGTCTTGGTCATTCATTCACACCAATGTTCAAGCGGTGCTGGTGGGATGTGGCATGAGGATGAGGTCGCCTTGCCCCAGATTAGCGCACAGAATACATCCGGCGAGGGTAACGCCGTCCCTCCCCTCCAGGAGCAAGGCCGTCGCCAGAGCACAAATTACGAGGTAGAGGTTGCAAAGGCAATTATTCTCAGAGAGGAATACATTTTGCGGGTCAAGGCAAACCTGGACGATTATCGGTCGAAGTTCGGCAAGGACCAAGAAGCTTTCGATGATCTTATCAGCCTTGTAGATCTACTACGGACTGCAACCGTCGACACTGTGGAAGCAATTGCGCAATGGAGAAGGGTCCAAGGAAATCCCGCAGCACCTTTTATCTGGAAGAGCGGTAACTACCTCCTCAAGATCGGGAGCGACCTCGACTTCCTAGATTCTCATGCGGTGAGCTACGCTGTTGTGTGAGTATGGCATTCTGGAGTCTCTGCTCGGGACCTGTCGAACAAGTGTGTACGATTTTCTTCTACTATTCTATAATTTATTGTGAACCTATCCCCGCCCGGAGAATTGTGCCTGTCGCCTTGCTTCTCTCATGACCTGCTTCATAGCGCTACTACTACAACCGCGGTCCTTAACCTTTTACACTGCCTACAAGCATTTACTTGCTCCAAGTACGATGGCAAACTCACGTTCAACGGATATGCGATTGCTTCAACACTTTTAGCGCACACCGTAGCTGCGGCTGTACTATCTAACGCCCGTTCCCGTTATGCCCAGCCATTGCGCATGTGGCTGAGGGTCAGCTTGAGGCGGAACCCGTTTCTTGTTCCCATACCTACGGAAAAGCTTGCTCTGGGAGGCGTCTTGGCATCCAAACCTGGGCACCATGCCTTCTCGGAGGACAAACAAGGTTTTTTTTCGGTGGGCGGTGCATATCCTCGTGCGACTACCAGGGATATGCACCAGTGGAATCCAGCCTCCAACAATTTGCGTGTAGGTGGGAGCGCAATAGCTGATGGTGATATGGTGCGGATTAGAGGTGCGGCTGCCGTGATTGCGCAAGAAGAGGCCCTGCATGGCAGGTGATCGCTCCTAGGAACGTGTTGGGTGGCCAGCGTGCGCCATTTTACACCTTGCGAAAGTTCTCTACCATGCCCTCTACTACTGGCGTATAGAAACTCGTTCCAAACGTTTTTGCATGAAAGATGTTCATATTGTAGTCGTTTCCATATGAAGTAAACTGTCGTCGCTCGCGTTTCGACAGCTACAAAGAGGGTAAAGGTAGGCGCCAACACAGAGATACAGGGTGTACCTGATGATGGCACAGCAGCTAAGCACAGGTGCAAATGTGTCTGTTCCACGTGTCAAGTGTGCTTGTGTGCAGAAGAGACTTGAAAAAGGAACACGTTGCACGCTGTTTTATCGTCCATTAGATGGGAAAGCAAGAGTAAAGAAGAGGGACACTCGAGCCACGTGCAAGATAGTGAGTCACAAGCCTTGTCTGGAGTTTATTAAAACAATCATGAGGAAGACGGGTATAAATATATGTCACACGAAACGCTGGGGGAAATAAGAGTCAACGCAGACAGGTACCGGAGCAATAGAACACGCGACGGCAACAATCTTACGCGAGCCCCGTGTAGCGGATGCATAAGGTCCACTATGTTGACATTGAGGAAACCCGCACAAAACTGTTATTTTATTTTGTTTCCGATAAAAATTGTTGACTTCCACCTTGACTTCAATTGTACCACGGAACTCTCAACGAACTGCATCAAAATGGAGCCACGAGGCGGAGCCGACTTTGTTCGCTGTACTTTGTCTCTTGTTTGGCCGCGTTTGACTTGGGCTACTGCGAATGTACTTCAGATCGCTTCCAGCAAATGAGGCCTAGCGGATAGACACATGCTTCCCTTGGAAATCGAACTAGTCAACAGAACGCGCTCACTGTTCAACATCTGAAGAGGGTTTCTATGATTGTCGCTTTTGCCGTCAGGTACACTGTGGACAGCTCTGCCCGATTGGTTCCTGTAGGCACCGCCGAGAAGTGCGAGTTTTCTCGCCAGCTCGTGCTGGATGACAAAAAGGGAATGCATCTTCCGGCCAGCGTTTCAGCCCCTTTCACAGCCCTTGCTGGTGTAGGCCAAGTGCCTAAGGAGAACTCATCCTACAACTTTGGTGGTTTGACCTCAGACATCAGCGACCGACTGGCCAAGCCAAGTTCAATCCCTTCCGCTTCCGGCAAGGCCAGTGCGAAACGGGCGGGTGGAAAGCTTCGTCCAGTCACCGTCCACTCAGCACTTCCACGGAAAAGGCCACCTGTCATCCGAAGGTGCGAGCGTGGGTGGCAACGCTTAGGTCTGTCGAAGGAAAGTACAGTAGGTTTCTTTCAGGGAACAAACTGACAGTGTTGAGCGACAAAGAAGTGTTATTCCAGTATGTGATGTGAGTTGGGTTTCCGGGCAGGTATCTCTCACAGGCATTCCATAATGACTGGCTTCGTAGAAAGACTTTGGTGGGCACGTGTTGCCTGGGTCCAAGTGCTATAGTGTAAGGAGGGGAATGCACTTGAGAACAACACAAAACATGGGGTAGCCAGGGGTGACCTGGGCGAGCAGTACCAAAATTTGCCCGCCTACCCGCCTCCTCATTTCCAGGCCTATTGCGCCCTTCATCCAGCTTCTCAGAGTACCTTCGCTGAAACTGTAGTGAATGGCAAGTCTCAAGAGGGCTAGGTGGATTCCAGATTACTGTCCATTGTAGCACACTGTTCAACCTCGAGTAGCGATTTTTGTTATACCGCATTTTTCTACACCAGTATGGTCTCTCTCCGTGTGCTACCCTGATCGAGTCGGGGCCACTCAGAAGGCCTCTTCTTTGGAAGACGGGATTTTTTGGCGTGTAAGTTACCACAGAAGCGCTTGCACCCTGGGCTTTGTGTCATGTTGGCCAGCACCGCCTACACAGACTTCAAAAAAAGTAGCAAACGTGACGTGAAGGGTGGCAAGAATACTCTACCTTATTTATCTGTGGTCGGAGTGTGCAATCAAGAAGCTGATACAATGTAGGTCTTACTTTTCGTGGAGAAAGGCCCCAAGCTTTCCGTCAGTGGCAGTTGAATGTCTGCGTACACGCACACACGCTTGTTTAGAACTGTTCCTCTTCACCTTGCCGTTGCCTGCTTGCAGGTCTGTAGGTGCACTACTCCGCGCCGAAATGATGCACAATAAACAACAAAATAAACAGTTGCAACAGGAGTTGGAAGATCTTCGACACCATCTGTCGGAGAAGTCTCGGACCCAATCGAGAAGCCCCGAAGTATCACAAGACCAAAACCCGTGCCATGGATTGGTCGGATACACATCAGCAGAAAGGGGGTACACATGTGGAGTTTTGGGGCAGGGTTCTCCAGCGGAAGTTGGCGAGGCCGCGTTGAAAATTCAACGGAAGTGTGACGAAGTTGAACGGAAAACACGCCGACAGGTAGCCTTAGAAGAGCAGTATGTAATGTTTCAAGCCAAGGAGAGGACGTCACAAAACAAGAAGCGAGCACAAGTACTCGAACGGAAGAGGAGATTGCTTGAACAAGATCCCGATCTTCTCGAGCCATCTGAAGATGATGAGTACACTTTAGAAGATGGAGCAGCCACCCAAGTCCAACGCATTACGCGTGGTGTCCAAGGTCGTACGCGCGTGAGAAAACTCCGCCCCGTGCTCAACAACGCTGCCACCAAAATCCAGGGCATCATACGTGGTCGCCTTGGCCGTTCGCGAGTTGGGCTTAAAATAGTCGACAAGCGAGCTGTTACAAATATTCAGCGTGTATGGCGCGGTCACCTCGGTCGCCTTGCTTCTATCTCCGACCGCCGGAAGCTGGAGAGAACGATGGCTGCACGGTCCATTCAGAAGATAGCAAGAGGGCGTAGCGGCCGGCGACGAGTTGACCACAAGCGAGGTCTGCGGCAGAGTGCCAGCAGAGGATCAGAAGTGGTAGGGGTTAAGCAGCTATTTCACCAAGACATCATCGAGCTTGCCGACGCAGTGGAGTCGCTCCTTGTGAAAGACAGTGCAACTGCAATCCCTGGCATCGTCCTCGGGCTTTTGAAAGTGGTCGCGCTAATGCTCGAGGAGGACGACGAATCGGGAGCAACAACCCGGTACAATGCGTTAGGCGTAAAATCAGTTAACAATTTACGCCCAGCAGTGCAGTTTTCATGGCGTGACGCACTCGTTCTTCTCCGCAGGTCCTGCAAGCTCCTTCGTCGCTTACGCCAAATAGCAGAGGGGCCTTCAAATAGACGACCACGAATGGTGTACTTTTCTCAGGCGGCAGTGCAGGTGTACGCTGCCCTTCGATGCGACCAGGGGTGGAACGTATCAAAGATAGGTCTCGTTGGCCGTGGGGCCAAAGCCTGCCAGCATCTTATGATGTGGGTAGATGCACTGCAGGAGGTGTTTGCATATCAAAGGGAGTTTCCTGATGAAGTTGGCAGCGACCGCATGCCCTGGGTGGCACGTGCTCAACAAAGTGTACGTGGTATGCGCCATCTGGAGCTCTCGCGTATGGTATGGGAACACGCTATCACGTGCGTGAAGCAGGTTATCCTTGAATCGGGTGAGACGGCGCCAAAACCAAAGGCTAACTCCTCGAAGATGAGGGGAAACCTCCGCCTACGCGTGGCGGAGCGTGCTTTGAAAACACTTCAGTTGCACGAAGAATGCGCAAGAGATGCCCTTTCCAAGGCGAGACAAGACGAAGAGGATGCCCAGAGAAACGACAAGGCTCGTGAGCAATTAAGGGAAGACACGCTTGTCGATGACCTCAATCGTGCTGAAAAGAGTCTGGCAGAAAGCCTGATCCGACTTGAAGAGGCAAAAACAGCGGCTCGAGATGGGATCGAAACTGACCAGGTTCACCTACAGCTTTGTCTTGATGAGCTAACCACATGTGAGGTGGTTCGTCGAGAGCGTTGGGCTTCCGTGGAGATGTTCCGAACACAGAGAAGGCGCAATTCCAAACGCAGAGGTGTAAATGTGGAGGTGTGGGGAGATCTGCGACATCAAGTGCGTGTGGTGGGCGAGCTAGAGGCCGCGTGTACTTTGGCTAATGAAGATCTGAACGAATATGACCCGGACCGAGGAGCTACATCCGCAGTTTCTCGCAATCATGACCTGGAGTTGCTCCAGGCAAGGACGAGAGAGGCGCAGTCGGCGGCGGCCACAGCACGAACACGACTAGGTTGTATGGAAGAGGAGCAAGAAAACGCCAACGCGCTCGCCAACGAAGCCGAGGTGAGTGATAAGCATCAGTGCCTCAGTATCCTCATCACAAAAAGCTTTCCATTAAATGAAGTGCACACCTACACGGAAGCTGTCTCATAGCTCATAGCAGAATTGCTCCAATCCCCTGTTTGCAGCTTCAGAAGGAGGAGACGGTCCTGCTTCACGAGTGGGACGACCCATCTGAAGAAGAGCGGGAGGAAGATCTTCGAGAAGACGAGCAATGCGCGAGATACGAAGCACAGGCAGCAACCCAGTTTGTACCACCCGCGACGATCGTTCGACCCTTCCAACGTCCACGCCCCATAGTCATCTGCTTGAGTCGAGACTTGCCGGGATCAGCGAAAGCGAAACTCGTACAACAACTTGAAAGCGATCTTCCAGGTTTAACAATCCACATGGATGAGGAAAGGAACATGGGTCTTCATGTTGATGACCTACAGCGAGCTCTGTCGATCAGGTGGGGATACCCTGTGCGTGATTCTGACGTTAGTGTCTCTCTCTATCATCCGTGAAATTCCAATGGCGCGATTGCGACGCCGATCTCACACTGCTCGCGTACTAGTTCGGCACATGGCACACCTGCTACATTGTGTTATTCGACCTCTGATGTGCCACTGCTTCGGTCTCGTCATGATGGTGCAGTGCATGTATCACGTCACGTCTGACATGAAGCATCTTTTCCACTGTGGCACCAGGTGTAGCGTAGTGTGCAACGTGGACATGGGTATCGGTCAACGATGCAGGAGAGCGTTTCTGCACACGTTGGCTATTGCCAAAGACGCGCTCATCCCGACGCCAAAATTCGTTTTGGTGGTTGGCGATAGCAAAAATCGTGCCGGAGGACCGCTCGACGGCTCCGTTGGGTGCAACGACCGTGACTTGTCTGTGATGGGAGATGGAGAAATGAAAAGGAGACTCGAAATCATAGCTCGCATCATCAAAGAATTCCAGGACTCCACCTTCATGGAGGGCATGGCGAAAATGGGACAGGTCGTCACCCCACCGTCGCAGTCTCACATCCTTGTGATGGAGGCGTTGATAATTCTGCTTTCTCCAGAAACAGTGTTTCACAACCATATCCCGTTGTCATCTCTGAGGGGAGTAACGTGGACGGAGGCTCGGCACATATTGGGGAACCCTGACAAGCTGTGCGCTGCGATTGCACGGGTAGATTATTTCAGTATCCCTCCGGCGAACCTTTCTACGCTGCAGGTGAATAAGGGAGCTTGCTGCTGGCTTTTCATTGATGTTCACCAGGTGACAAGCATGGTCAGCAAGAATCACCGTTGGAGACCCGTGTTGCTCTATGTAGCGTATCTTTCAACTCTTGCGTGAGTGCGATATCCGCCATGCTGGTCATCGTGGAAACGTTTATTACCACTGTCAGGCATACATTGGACATGACGGATGGCCTCGCAAAGCTTACGCACCAGGCAGTGATGGCGGTGTCCTAGACGTCCTGGCAGCCTGGTCGTGTTCAACAATAGAGTTTGCTGCCCTCCTCACCAACGCCGGAGGACGTCCAAAGGCTCTATGCCACTATTCTACAGCCCCGATTGGCTTGTTGGCAGCCGTGGTGCCGATGTATGACGCGAATATCTGCACCCAGCGGGACCGCAGCGGCCATTTCAAACGAGGGTGAGATCTGAACTTGTCCTTCTGGCGATGGTTTGGTTTGCGACGTACGCACATACCGTTTAGGCTCCGAGAATTCTGTATGCTTCTGGAGTTGGAAACGCCGGCCGCCTCACAAGAGCGTGACTGCACGGCACATGTGTCAAATGTCGTGGCGGCTGGCAGGTGGAGGGCCGCCTATTACCAGACTATGACTGCTGTACTGGAGGATGTGCGGGTTTTCCGAGTGGCCAGGCGTATTCGAGGTTCTTCTCCTGAGGGTGTTCACGTCATCGAGGTAGGCAATGGTTCGTGATCAGTTTTCTTTGCAGATTCTGATGCCGTCCTCGGGCAGGCTGGCTAGCCGCCAAGCGTGTTGGGTCATATCCTCCTCTGGTGAAAAACATCTTACAGGGACGCATGCAAGATTCTGACCGAGTACCCTACCCTGCTTTCTTGCACGCACACCAGATCTACCAGGAATGCGGGCGGCTATTTTTCCACACCTACGATCCAGAGTCCTGTGTCAGCAACTTTTGCGCCATTGAGGAGAGCAAGGTACGCGTGGGACGTATGTGCACGTAGGTTCGTGGTTTCCTTTCGTGGTTGTCTTCACAATGAAATCCTTCTCGCCCCACTCTACTTTAGTCTGTCCTCTTTGAGTACCCTGCAAAATATAGGACAAACATAGGAGAGAAGACTCCGTCGTCACAGGTTGATCCGGGTGTGAGATACAGAGTTTCAAGATGATAGACCTAGGAAAAGTGTTCCGAAACTAGCTCGCAATTAAGAAGCAGATTTCTGATGAATCCTAAATAGAGTACGGTAGCGCAGTATCCCCAAACGGGACCTAACGCGTTAAAATTTTCATGCTGAACAACAACAACTATTGTTGCGCCGCTGCGAACACGGTGAATTATCCATCGAAATGTTTTTCTCGCCCATCACGCCACGCCAACTTCTGATGTGTGATATGAACACGTTCTTTCTTCTAGCGAAGCGAGGCATTCTTGCACGAATTACCTGATGCTGGATGCGATTCGATGACGTGTTCCTCATCCTTGTGTCGCAGGTTAGCCATCTTCTGGCCCCTGCCTTGGATCAACCACCCGAGTTCGGACCGAGCACCGTGCCTTGCGATCGGCAAGACATGTTTACGCGCCTCGTAACCCTTCTCAGCTTCGAGGCCGCTCCGTTAAATGATACGGTCAGTTACGAAACTTGACGACAGTATGTAGCGATATGATCTACACGTTCTTTTTAGAGCGGAGAAAAACATGTGTACTACATGACGGCATCACCAGCAAATACGACTTCCACGACTACTGCTACAGCCATCGAGTATTCTTATTACGGTGTTGGCGAATGAACAAACACGACAAGCAGGTGTGTCGGGGTGTGCCGCACTTGGTGTGTCAGCGGCGCCTCCGATGTCTTCTTCGCGATACTCGATTGATATCTGGATATCGTGCTCAAGTTACCGTGTACGAGGAGGCGAAAGGCGAGCTTCGGTATTGCCTCTATCTTGCAGACCATGCGGCAAGGATCCAGCTCAAAGTGGACGCAAGGTTACTAGAGAAGGTGCTTCAAGACAGCAGCGACGTGACAGGAGAGCGGCAAGCGATCACGAGCGAAGACACTGGTCGCCTACTTGTTCCGGTTACTGATCGACTCGTCATATCGCCGTCACGAGCAGCTGTTGTTACCATGGGTGCAGGATGTGGTGGCAAGAAGATGACATCGTCCAGTCAAGGTTTCGTCCTTAAAATCCGCTGCAAGGTGCGTGCCGAATAGAATATGATAGGCATATGATGATGTAGCACGAACAAGCAATCGCTGACCAGTTATGCCTTGTGACCGATCTGCTGCACTGTTTCCTTGCGGTCAAGGGTGGGCCCGGTAGGCGCGTGCTTCGGGCCGTGTGCGTCATATCTGGAGCCCCTCATGTCGTGTCCGTGTGGGAGCTAGGCAGGGGGGGGGGGCTACGTTTGACCGCTTATGATCCAGCGACGAGCATGACGTATGGAATCGGGATTTCAAAGGCTGAACGAGCTTTTTTTGGTTGCAACGGCGACGATCGTAAGTATTGGATCAAGCATCTAGGCCGGCGTTTAAGCTTGCGGAGAGGAACGGAGACCACCATCATGGAGGGTGCGGAGGCACCGGGAGAGCCACTTCCAACCAGACGAACAATGCTCTTGGACAAGACAATTTTTTCAACTGCCTGTCGAGTAGCTGTGGGACGGATTGACGCCCGCCTCTTCCGAATGCGGGCAGAACTAGCAGATGCTGGGCAATCTCTCGCACTCGATTTGTATCAAGCTGACACCTCGAAACAGTGCCGCATTTTACTCAATGAAGAGGACCTTGCAGCGCTGGGTCTTGAGCCATGCATGGCCTACCCGAACGGCTCTCAGACGGATGACCTCAGGACTAGTGCTACCTCCACTACTCGATGTTCTGGACAAAGTGGTGCGATGACCGGCATGCTAATTGGACCTGCAAGCAGGGAAGCCGCTGTGCGCCAGCTCACGCGCCATTTGTGTTTCGCTCCAGACTCCGATAGCGTTATTCTTTCCATCAATGGGGGCTCGAGAATCGCTGCGATGGAATGTTCGATCGTCGCGCAACAACGACGCCCTCAGAGTACGGTGGCGATCGCCTTCTCACAAACCAGAAGTACAGGATCGTACGCCGTCGGGCGATGCGGTTTTGTCGCGGGGTTTCTCAAGCAGCGTCATCAGCCGTACGTTCTACTGCATGGACTTTTGTCTCCTCGCATGCGGCAAACCAGCAAGAACCGGATACTTGACTTTACCCCCAGGTGTGATTTCAGGAGCCAGTTGTTACATCAGCGGTTGAGTGACATGCATGGGGCACGGTTTTGTCGCAGGTGTTGCATGTACTGTGTTTGATTTTGTGCCTATTTATCCAACCAAAAGACCTCGAACCAACCACATTTGCCCACTGATTGTTAAGTTGCATGAATTAGTTCGCCACTTGTCAGGGTCGTGGGTGTTCACCACGTCTGAAGATGACATAGTGCAACCTGATGACCAAAAGCAAGCGGGGAAAGAGCAGGATGTGGGAGAACAGTCGAACGCTGTGCATAGCGTTGATCATTGGCCAATATTTGGTTTTCGAAGGTAGATGTCGGCTTCAGATTGCGAAAATGGAAGCCAACAAACGGTTCATGACTAAAACGCATGAACACATGTCGCGTTGTTGATAGCAGCATACTCATCTTACGGTTACCATTGCACTGCAGGGAATCACCAAAGCGCAAGAAAGGAAAGCGAAAACGAGACAAATTCCAGAAGACTGTAAATGAAGGCGGGAACCCGAGCGCAGGTCTCTCCGAGCTCAGAGACGGAATGATGTTATTGGACAGCATCACCGCCGCGGCAACGGGGGCACGACTGTCACACAAGGCCTGTACCCAGGGAGCGAGTCAATGTACCCAGTGCCCAACCTTGCGGTTGGCATATTTAGAAGCGCTCGTGTTTCGACACTTTCATTTGCGTTACCTGATAAGTACCTTGCGCCGTGGTGTCCGAACAGATCCACGACTTACCAACATGCGCATGGCGTCATCACTTCGATAATCACCGCAGGATGAGCCTCAGATGGATCCTATTCGTTCTGTCTGTGGTGGGGCTGCACCTATATGCTTGGCACGAGGTGGCGAACGCAACATATTTCACGGAGCAATTTCCATACGAAAAAATGACTGGGAAGAGCATCAACTAGCGTGTGATACGGTGGTGACCGTATTTTCGACTTCTGCTCTCGACGATGAATTGTGCCTGCGTGCGGCGGTGTACTACTCGAAGCTTGGGGCGTATGCCGAAGTATCGATCAAAGGTTTCGAAGATCTTCGCCAGGTATCGTAGAGTGTGCAGTAGCGCAGATTTGGATGGAGGTTCTGCTTCGTCCTTGAATGCTTCAATAAGGTATTTTGGAATAGGCATGGCGCTTGGAAATTCGTGACAATGGTCTACATTTCTCGAAAGGTATTAGGTGATAATACATTTGATCATCGGGGATCGACCAATATCAATGCCTCGTGGGGATACCCGTGGACTTCAAGGGTTTCTCAGCAAATTATTGCTTTGGTCGACCGTCTCCCCGTTTCGATACGAAATGTGTTTTGATAGCGCAGTAAGAACTGTTCGGGTTCAGGTCGGCATTTTTTTCGGAAAACATCAGATTTCGTTCTGTTGCGCTCGAACTGGCGTCCCAGTACCCAATACCGGTACAATATTTCATTTTAGCCCATTGAGAAAACCCACGTGCCGTGCAGGTACATTGTATTCCTTCCGAATAGGCGTGGTGCCAAAAGTCTTGATACCTACCAAGGTGGTATCGAGTAACTCACCTGTAGCAGAGGAACCGCCGACAACGGTCTTTGTCAACTGTTGTGTAGGTTCTACACCTCTCTCCATGCACGTTGTGTCTGTCTTTTAACAGTATTTTTTTTTCCACTCAACTAAATGAAGGTTTCATTGCACAAAATGATTTGGCATTTGCTTTCACAAAAGAGGTTTTGAGTGTGTGAAGATGTAGCAACTTGTGCGGGTCCAGGGGAAGGGATTCCTTGCTTGCCTTAGGGGCGCCAAGCCAAGAAAACCGCCAGGTGCCTAACGACTGCCGGTATCATTTGCCACAACGCCTTTCCACGAACGTAATCTGCTTGTTGTACGTAGGTTGTTGGGGCGCTGAACCAATCACTCGCACACGAGTGGAGGCGTCAACCAGAGAGCGACGGAACGGCTGAAGCTCTATTTAATTTCATATTCCACGAACGCGCTATGATCGTGGTCGGGAAATGGAATGGTGACTGCGATGGATATGTTGAGAATGGCAGGGACTTTACGGTGGTACTAAAGCGAAGCAGACTGTACAGCTCCTTCAAGCAAACACCCGTCCACCTTTCCGGGGAGAAAGATACGCAGGCCAACGCCAATCGGCTCATCGATGGCGCCGACCGACGTGGTAAAAAGGTCAGATATCTCATACGATGCGTATGCGCGGTTTGTCATTACGTTTTGTTTTGAACAGGTTTACGCGAGAAATAGCAAGTAAATGTTCTCTCTCGTCTTGTTCCCGGAGAGGCTGGTGTTTGAACACCGTCAATCTCCGTGTTGGCAAAGAGCTTCTTCTGCATTATATCTTTGAATATTTGCTTGTTGTTTGTGCAGTAAAGCACGCAACAGACGTGCGATTCTTTGTCACACGAACGTGGAGGATACAACGTGCCAGTTGCCTTGGCGCTGGATATCCATCCATACAACGCGAGCGGGAAGATCGCTCTTCCCTGTGATCTTTGTACCGATCAATTACCAAGCCCGACGGTGAACCACGACGTAGACCAATGTGATTGTCGTTGCCCACAACAACGATCGTACACTTTGTTGGCCAAAGGACGAAATTCTCACCCGCCTCAAGACGCACCCGTTTAGTTCATGGCTTGCCTCACCCAAACGTCTATTTTTGTCTGCCCAATGACGACAGGTGTTCCGCTGTGCTGTAAACATCAGCAGCACACTGTTCCAGATGACGGGATACGAATTACCCCCAGAAAAGAGTTTGGATGCAACACCATCTCTCCGATTTATCGCGTATGACCCCAAGACACAGCTTCAGGTGATGCGAGCAAGGGTTGGCGCGGTGTCAGCTCGAAACTTGTGCTGGATGAAGTAGTGGCAGCATTGTGCGCTTACGTTAATGGTGGTTTTTATGGTTTCCCAATCTGTGAACCGCGCTTGGGTGCAGCTTGTTGCTGTGGCACAGCCTGACGCCGTACTTGAGCTCGGTGGCGGACAGCATTCACCCTGGATGGCCAAAGATAAACGCGAAGTTTTGGCCGGCATCATCGCACGGGCCCTCCGCCTCAAGGTGAGCACCTACAAAAGTAATTAAATAGACCTCACTCTACCGCCTCCATCCGTGCCTTCCGGCGACCCGTGTAGTCAGATGGTGTTTGTGAGCCATAACGTCACACGTATGACCATATTTAAGTACACGATGGAGGAAAGTGCTGACCACGCCTAGACAATGGTGGCAGGTTTGATGATACACAACGATGCATCGACCTCGGCCGAAGAAAACTTCTTGTTTACCTATCCTTGCAGGTCGCCCACGACGGTTCTCCAACCCTCGTGGTGCCATGGTCCGGTGAGAACCTGGCGCTTGCGGACGAGGTTCAACCTGGAGAAACGACCAGACCTCGAAGGGATAAGGTTCTGAAGTTCGCGAAGCGGAAGGGCCTTTCAAAGCTGGAAGTGTTTTCCACTCGGGTGACGGGTTTCGAGGTGCGAATGTGTGTTGACACCCTTGTTCATGTCCGCAACGTGTGTTGTTTGCATCAAAAGGAAGCCAGCCTTTCAGTGGTGTATTCATATTTGTTTACCCATAAGACACGCACAGGTCGAAGAGGACGTTGTTTATGGAAGGGAGAGCCGTATGCCCTCGGCTGATCCCCCAGGCGTGGCCTCCCCAGGATGTGAGGGGGGAGGCCGAGCCACCAAACCCCCTTAGACAGGGTAAAGAAGAGGCAATAGAGGCCCCCAAGATGTGACAAGAACCAACGGGGGCTCAAGGAATGAAATATTGGAAGCACGGCAAACAGGATGGTGGTAGAATACCGTGGTTGTAGGGTGCTTGTATACGATGTATTTATACTTCGTATATAGCCACTAGTCTATTAATGAAATCCTGTCCAGCCTTTGCTAGACGGGTTCATATTGTAATACTAATTTAAGTCTACACAATATGGAATTTTCAGACTTTACCGTAACCATTCTAAGTCTTTAGTTGAAGAGTTATAGAAAAAACTCTTGACCAAACTGGATGTAGCACCCGATGAAACGGGGGGGTGGGTGGGTGAGCTAGTGGTGGCAGTGTCGCCAGCCCTACATTTCGTGAGCCCCCTTGAGCCCAGGTCCACATGTTGAATCACCTGTTCCTCGCAGACCTTGTTTGTCATAGGGTGCTATTTCTACCTTTTCGTTTCTGCATCGGAAACATGTTCAAAATGCATGCATGTCCACCTGACAGGTGATTATCACAGTATTCGGGAAGACTGATGCAATCTCATCTGTCCCAGCGGTGGTGGTCGATGATGATGATGCCGACGACGATGAGCGACCACCGCTAACCTTCAATCTGTACTGCCCTAAGCTGACCGAGAGCGTCGACATCGATCTACCTTACTCGATGCAGAAAATGATGACTGGTATAGTGCTTCTTTTTCTTTGCGTTTTTCCATGTTTGCCAACCATGCGTTCCAACTCTAGGCTTTCTGTGCGACCACATTGTTGGGTGCGCTCGCGTATCATGCACGGGAGAGTCCGTAAAAGATCGTGTGACTCAATGTTCCAGGTGAAACATAAGCCTATAAGTAGTCTGTTCGCTTCTAGTGAAAGCATTGCAAAGCGATCGCGCTTCTCACAATCCAGTTGATTAAGGATGTCCTGCACTTGTGGAATGTGTGCTCCGCGATTTCATAAGAAACTACGTCTCTCCCCGAATGCCGCGCTCTTGAAGGTTGGAGCATATTCCAAATCCCCAAAGGTGAAGCTCGATCCTCGGCGATTAGGCGAACTGCACGATTTCTATGCGTGTCGTTACCACCTTCATCAAAAGGCTTACAAGCAGAGGTGCGTGGTGGTAGATCGCTGCTCCTTTGTTTTTCAGTCACTCCTTGACCATTGCCCGCAGATCTCAGTTTGAGTGGGACAAAGTTTTCAGTGCGAGCGGTGTTTGACCAAGCTGAGTAGTGCTATCGAGAATACGGATGTAGGCCCCGAAAAAGCCTCGCGCACACAACAATGATTTTTGGCGTGAAGCGTACAATCTTGGTGGTCAAATATTTGGTCCAGGCCGTACTTGTTTGGATGAGTGTTTCACTCAATCGGCGGTAGCACACGTAGCTCTCAGATTAAAACTTTTTCTCGCGAGAATTGTACAGACGATTAAAGACCATGATACATGATAACCAGCCGAAGCTCTCGCCCAACGCTGACTAGTACTCCCTTGCATTGAAACTTGCTCATCAGTTTTTGTTTAAGGCCCAAAAGCCGTGGTTGGTGTCATACAGTGAGCTGGATACGTCTGACTGCCCTCGTTCCCAAAGACCTCGGGGGCAGCCGCTCATCTTTGTTCCGGCGGATACGGATGGTGACCTGATCACATCCAAGGTGATTGATTGCCTGCGAAGTATTTTCTGCGGACGACCGTTTTTCACTTTATCATAGGTAGATACGTTTATTTATAGTGTGTTGTCTCTCGTCTCGGTACGCGTGTCCACTCCGGTCCGTGGTGTAGCTTCGGTCCTCGAGTCCAGTCATGCAAACAACTAGGCAAGCGTTTTGTAGCTGTGTTTTTTTCATTTTGTGGTTCACGCTCGTGCCGTACATCATGTAGACTAAAATACAGGTAAACCCCTGTTGTGCTGTGGTTGCACGAAAATATCACTCAAGAATCACCCCCCAGACGAGTTTCTGGTAGGAACGGCTGTAGTTTGATATTTTACCTTCAGTTGTTGCGACGCGAACTTACGCCAACTTGATCCCGACTGTCTAGTGTATCACCTGCTTCATGAGTAACACGAGCAACTGTTGGTCGGCCCGTCGAGAAATGTCAAAGCACTTGCTTGAGCCTTTGACATTCAGTTTCATTCAGTTCTCTGAAGTTTTTTTGGGGGGGTTTCTTTCCATCTCCATTGGTATTGATAAAGAGAGACCGGCGTTTGAGCATGACATTGATGCTTAACGTCGTTTTCGCAGGGGAAAAGGCTGTTCGCAACCACGTGTCAGGTAATCTGACAAGAGTATCTTTCGTTGCTGGTAGATGTATACTACCCCGTTGGAGGATGAGGGCAACACGAGTGTCGGTACCCCCCCCATGAACGTTTGCATTCTTTCGCTTGACCTCACTCCTCAACGTTTCGTTGTGTTGTTCTTGTCAGGGAATTTCTCTTGGAGGTCTGAAGGTACTACTTAGCGTGTACACGAAAGAGAGGGGACGGCCTGGTAGAGAAGGCCTGGTTTTCGAGATTTACAATCAGGAGACCTCCGCCACGGCCACATTGCATGTCTCATCACAGCACCTTCTTCGTCAGGCAAGTGCTAACGTTGATGCAGCTCTGGAAGGTATTGAGCAGGGTACCTTGTATCCAATGTTAGTGTTCGTTCTTATGGTCAGTTTCTATGGTTATGGAAGCATTGCAAGAAACAAGTTGCATTGTCATCAAGGGACAGTGAGTGAGACAACCTTGGAATAAAAAACTCAACGCACCTCGTATGAACCTGGATCAATCCGTGCAAAGTTTGCAAATTGCTGGAGCTAAAAAGACTGATGTGCATACGAAGACTTGTTGGTTTTGGATTGGTGAGCTGCACCGGACAACAAGCCCTCAATGCGTTTCATTGCCTGAAATCGATCAGAAATATCAACGAATATGTTGGGAACACATGGTGATCGTCGTCGTGCTACACACTCCTGTAATGAATGACCTCAGGTAGACGACAAAGTGCATTTGCTGGAAGACGGTCGGCTACTTGGAACAATCTTCCTCTTGACCAAACGTCTACTCCTTAAGAAGTCGGCCGCTGGAGGGTGGGATCTCTTCCTGGACAGGAAACGGGAGCCTTGCCTGTTCATGGGCATGTGACGCAAGGGAAATTGTGAGGATGGAAGCCGAATGCTCGCAAGATAACTCTCTCTTTCGGGATTTAAGGTGTTGGGTGGTGCCGAGGCGCACTGCCAGTGTCTACCTCCAATGACGGAGGACTGGAGAGGTTAGCGGAGCGGATAGGCTACCAATCCGTTTAACTGGGTTTATCTGCCGGTTGGTGTGGCGTCAACCTTATATGTAAAAGTATCTGTGGGGATAGATGTCGGGGGTGGGCGATGTGGTGCCCAAATGTCCTTTGAAACCTCCCTAGCCAAGCATCGTTCACTGTATCATGCCTTATGTTTTCGACAACCCGGCCGTCCGCTGTTTTCCCCAACCCTGGCGTTTTTGAGGATCGTTTGCTCCCATCTATGTACATGGAGGGCGAGCGAGGCACCAAACCCACTGAGCGTCCGTTTTGCGCCTGAAAGAAGCGTCTGTTTCGCGCCTGAAAGCACACGATCGTACGTTCATCATGCTTCAGCAGTAAATAGCGAGGGACCTGTTCTCGTGCCTCCGACCGCCCCCCTGTAGAAGCAACAGCTTTTCCGCCTGTGTGTGGGATTGACAAGCATTACAGGCTATCGGGACGTCCCTTGCACGATGTGCTGATCAATGTACAGATGAAACTGCAAGTCAGCAATGTGCTTTTCTAGACCAATATGCCGTTTTCAATTCTGAATTCCCTTTTAGGCCCCAGTAAAAGCACAAACGTTCAAAATACACCCAGGGAACCCAAAACAGGAGATGAACCCATCGGGCGCGCGCGCCCGGTTGATAGTCACCCATACACGAACGAGACAGGGAGGGGTCATGAGCCGCGGGTGACGATTCAATAACTTTGCAGTAGTCTATTTGTGAAGCTACGTGATGCTCAAAAGATTGATTGACACAAGTCCAAACTTGCAGACTGCGCGAGAGATCAAGAAAGAGCACCAAAGGAGGAGACCCGCCCGCAGAGGAGCTCTCATGATTGGTAGAGTACACTTGGTGCAGTCGTTTGACCGGCGGACGAGACGGGATGACGTCGGGACGAGAAGCAGTGCTTGTGTACCACATGTGGTTGCGGGTAATTTCTTTTAATGCGGTCGCGTTGGCTCTGGGGGTCGATTCCCCTTCAGCGCCTTCTCGTCGTTCCGCAGCTGTCGCGCTCTCACCCAGTTCCCGGCCGCTAGGCCGTGCGAGAAACGGTGCTTGTGTACCGTACAATGTGGTCTGACGTTATATTTTCTCCCATCATTGGACTCTGTCGTCTGCCCCTCTGGCCCCCATCCTCCACTTCTAGTAGCGAGACGACCCAACCGGGGTCACGTAGGAGGGGAGGGCTGGACCTCCTCCTGCGGTTCCTGCCTGAGATTTTTTTATCGCGAGAAGGGTACAGCAATCCCTTCCCTCGCGGCTTATGAAGTCGAATAAGTTACTAACAACATGTGAATGTTTGATCACCTTTAGTCGGAAGGCCCGGAACCACGTACTTTTCGGTGTCGAACCGCTGGGGGTCCAGAAATTGCTATCGGCTGTGCTTCGCTGCTTTAGAGAAGATTGTGGTTGTCGGTGTTCGGTCATCTCACAAACCAGCATGCAGCAGGTACTTGCGACATAAAAATGGTCCGATCTCGATCAATTTGCGCGTAAACGTTGCCTATTTGCCATATTATGAAAGCTTGGTAAATCTATAAATATATGATATCTTTGACGCAGGACTGCTGTGCCTACGTAGTCTGTCAAGGAGGGGTTCGAGGCACGCCGCTGCCACCTTCCCCGCGAAAATACCTTCCATCGCAATCCGACGTCTGCAATTTTTGTATACGCGAGTGCATGCATATTGATGACCACTTTTTTCTCCTCGGAATACATGCGTCCGATCCATTGCAGTTTTCCTCCAAAGAATGCGCATGCACATTCATGTTTATGGAATGCATATGCATTAATGCTACATCGCGGAGGACATGTCGGGAAGGAGATTTTCTCGTTCACGGAGTCGAGGGTAACGATCCCGCGCGAGCACTTCATGTGCTGCAACCCAACGCCGGGAGCTATTTACAGTTAGACATCGAGATCAAGTTTTTGAGCCCAAAAAAAAGTCTGGCTCGATTGCCGAACAGATCCTATCCAGTGTATAACAACCAATCAACGCCCCTGAACTGGTCGCTTACGGCACTAAACCTCTTTACAACACACCTACATTTGACAACAACACCACGGCGTACCAAGCGCACTTTACCACAACACACACAACCACCGGACCACCAGCAACGGATCATGTGCACTAGGCTGGCGGATCGGACGCACTTGTATAACCCACCAGTTGGAACAACAGCGCATCCATTGGTGTTGCCTATGACAGCAGCAGAGTCTGAACATAAAAGAAGTATATGAGAGCGGAAAGCGATGGACTGGAAAAAACTTAAGAGTCAAAAGAAGCCGGTCTTGGGCGTTCGTTTTGTCCGTTCTACCAACGACCACTAGCTGCCACAGGCAACCCTCAGAACAAGCGCTGCAAGCCCTGCTCACACTGATTCTTGGAAGGTCTCAAGTTTGCTGGCCCTCGATGAAGTAGGTCTCAATACTATTATTGCACAAGCGTGTTGGCGGAAACGTCTTGAGCAAGAAGTTTCAGCCAAGTCACACCCAATTCTGCTGCTGGCACAGCAATACCCTCAAGCACAACTAATTCATCAAGGAAAAGCAAAGTTGAGAGCTTACAAGAATCAGTGTGAGCAGGGCTAGCGCTACATGAGCACAGCATTGCCTGTGTCACCTTGTGAACGGCGGGAGACGCATGGAACTAAGCTCAGACAAGTGTGCTCTTTGTCAGCATCATCAATATTTTGTGGATATTCAAGAGGTATTATCATTAACCCCCATTTTGAAGCAGCGAATGCCGACAGCGCTTCACCGTGGCTGCCTTTTTTAGTCTCCGAGCTTGGACCTCGCATTACAAAAGTATAGGCCCGGACGATAACGTTGTCCAATTGTGCTTCCGGTGCAGGAAGTGTTGAAAAACGAATTGGTGCAAAAACGTTTGCGCATGATCTTTTTGGGTAGCCATCTCGAGAAATTTCGCCCGTAAGAGCCTTAAGGGGAGCAGCTACTCCTCAACGTCACCCAACCCTTTGGATCGGGGTGTGGTTTTATGTGTTGCGTGCGCACAAGCCAAAAAGGCACGAATCACCAGGAACACATTTTCGAGTTTTTGGGAGCAAAAGCGAGAAATGGACAGCAATACTAAAAAACCAAACGTTCTCGGCCTTCGAGTGTGTGTGTGTGTGTTCGTCCCATATATTCTTGCACCGGTTGACAGGCCCTTCAGCGCATATGCCTGTGACGTATCAGCCGGGGTCACACAAGAGGAAGGTCACACAGGAGCTTTCTTCATTTATATATTCGTTTTATCGCACCTTTCCCCCTTCGATGCTTGCCTTGGTTTTCGTGGAAAAGAAATGTCTTCTTGGTGAATCAAACTATGGCCAACTCTCAACCTGGTGTAGCGTGTAATTTCGACGTCTAACAGTACACCCGAGGATGCAGGATCGCTCGACCAATCTCAAGAGCTGTCGAGAAAGGACTACCGTAATCATCGGGGTCTTAGCGCATATCGGGGTCTCCGCACATATCGGGGTCTTGGCACAGGGTGTGTGGAAAAAAAGCGGGTTCCGAATGATTTGCTAGATTATCGCACAGGTATCGTGGTCTCCGCACGCTTCGCGGAGACGCCGATATGTTCGGTGAGGTTTGGCGGTAAGTGATACCCTTTCACCAGCATCTTGTGCTGGAACTTCCGGATACTGTGGGAGCTTGAATCGCGTGCTCCACTGCTACTGCTGCCCTTGGCACCGTGACGATATTAAGAAATGCGGTATTTGTACCCCTTGATCTCTTCTTTTCGTTCTGAAGAATCAAGATCGGCAAATCGGCAAACGGCATCCACTCGAACAATTCTAAACGCAGATGAAACCAAAAACGAAGTAAAAAATCACAACAAACTACCACTACGAGCTACCAACGTCCTACTA